GCAGCAGAGGTTGCAGTGAGCCAAGATGGAACCACTACACTCCAGCCTAGGCAACAGAATGAGACTCTGTGTCAAAAAAAGAAAAAAAAAAAAGAAAAACTCAGATACATTCCTGGGAATCTGAAAGGCCACACAACTGTCAACTGCCTGATTTCATATTAAAAGTCTGCCTTCACGGCCGGGCGCGGTGGCTTACACTTGTAATCCCGGCACTTTGGGAGGCTGAGGCGGGTGGATCAGAAGGTCAGGAGTTCGAGACCAGCATAGTCAATATGGTGAAACCCTGTCTCTACTAAAAATACAAAAATTAGCTGGGTGTGGTGGTGCACGCATCTGTAGTCCCTGCTACTCAAGAGGCTGAGGCAAGAGAATCGCTTGAACCTAGGAGGCGGAGGTTGCAGTGAGCCGAACTCGCGCGCCGCACTCACCTGGGTGACAGAGCAAGACTCCATTCAAAGAGCTAAGGGAAATCATGTCTAAAGAACTAAAGGGAAGTATGAGAATGATATCTTACCATATAGAGATTATCGATAAAGACATAAAAGATATTTTTTAATTAAAGGAACAAAAGATAAATTATGGAGTTATAAATTACCATGGCCCGGTGCGGTGGCTCACACCTGTAATTCCAGCACTTTGGGAAGCTGAGGTGGGCAGGTCACCTGAGGTCAGGAGTTTGAGACTAGCCTGACCAACATGAAGAAACTCCATCTCTACTAAAAATATAAAATTTAGCTGGGCGTGATGGGCGCATGCCTGTAATCCCAGCTACTCGGGAGGCTGAGGCAGGAAAATCACTTGAATCAGGGAGGCGGAGGTTGTGATGAGCCGAGATGGCACCAATGCACTCTTCCTGGGAAACAGGAGTGAAACTCCGTCAAAGAAGAAGAGGAGGAGAAGGAGGAGGATGGAAAGATTGGTAGATGGATAGAAGGATACATAAATGATAGATAATAGATAGAGGATAGAGATAGATAACAATTAGATTGACAGAAAAACAATGATTGTAAATAGATGATAGAAAAATAGACTGATAGACATAAATAGACAACAGAGGACAGATAAACATAAGTACAGATGTAGATAAAGATAAAAGATGATACACATAAGTAGTTAATAGATAAATGATTGACATGCTAGACAGATGCGGTGTGGGCAGAATGTAGGCAAGGAATGAAACTATCTCTTGGGGCTCACAATGATGGAGAGCCTTTATCACTTCTAGGCCAGAAGGGCCAAGGAAAGGAAACAACAACCAAGACTCACAGAGGGTAGGTAGCTGGACGGAGAGCACGGCAGATACCCTGCAGGCAGGGAGCCCAGGAGATAAATACATTCTACCCTCTAATCCCTCACCTGTGTCTCTCATTGGCCAAACCCAAGTGGAAGCCAGAGAATAAGGAAGCCCATTGATGCCATCTACCTGGGTCATTCTCCCAGAGCACAGAGAAGAGTGGAGGAAGAGGAGAGCAGATCTGGAGGGCAAAAGGTGGACACTCAGCTGTTTCATCATTATCCTTTCCGTCGAAAAACCAACTAGGATGTCAATTCCAAACCTTCCCAACCCTTCCCAACTTCAGCATGCCAATGAAATCACATACGTATGCATCTTTGAATCTCATTAGTTAATTTCCGCCGTCACCAATGCAGGCTTCCTTGTCCTCAACCTAACATCCTTTCTGCAATCTTTCTAGGGAGCTCCCAGCATGGGTGAGTCTCACATGTGCTTACAAATAAGTCAGCTCCACCAGGTACGAAAGTGGGTTCCCCCACGTCCCCACTAAGAGGCCATTTCAAGCAGGAGTTAACACCGTCGCCACCTTGGTGGAGAATAAGGAAGCTCAGCTGGTGCTGACTGCACACGGCTTGGATCCCATTGAGCTGGTTGTCTTCTTGCCTGTCGTGTGGCATAAAATGGGGGTCCCTTACCGCATTATCAAGGGGAAGGCAAGACTAGGACTTCTAATTCACAGGAAGACCTGCACCACTGTCGCCTTCACACAGGTTAACTTGGAAGCAAAGGTGCTTTGGCTAAGCTGGTGGAAGCTATGAGGACCAATTACAACAACAGATACAATGAGATCTTCCGTCACTGGAGAGGCAATGTCCTGGGTCCCAGTCTGTGGCTAGCATCGCCAAGCTCAAAAAGCCAAAGGCTGGCTGGGTACGGTGGCTCACACCTGTAATTCCAGCAAGGCTGAGGCAGGCGGATCACCTGAGGTCAGAAGTTCAAGACCAGCCAGATCAACACGGAGAAACCCCATCTCTACTAAAAAATACAAAATCAGCCGTGTGTGATAGCACATGCCAGTAGTCCCAGCTACTTGGGAGGCTGAGGCAGGAGAATCGCTTGAACCCAGGAGGTGGAGACTGCAGTGAGCTGAGATCGTGCCATTGCACTTCAGCCTGGGCAACAAGAGCAAGACTTCATCTAAAAAAAAAAAGGCTAAAGAACTTGCCACTAAGCTGGATTCAATGTACACTGTTGAGTTTTCTGTACATAAAAATAATACAAATTTTCCTACCAAAAAAAGAAAATGGGTTACTCCTGTGAAACACTCTTCTCCGATGTTCTGTTGACATAAAGCCAAGGTTGCATGACAGAGTGGAAAAGTGGGTAGGGAGAATGACTTTCTCCTCATTCATACAGCATTCAGGAATAAGAACACCCACACTTGCTCAAACCCCAGTAGATATTTTAGTTCTTATTCCCAAGAATCAACTCATGCATAAAGCTAAGACAGACGTCTCTTGAGCCTGTGATTCAAGTGCAAGGAATTTATTCACAAGATCATTCCAGAAGGCTCTAGTAGTAGTGAGGAAGAGTAGGTTGCTGCTGTGGGCAACTGGAACCTAATCCCAAAGAACATCCTTTGGGAAAGTCTGTGGTTCACATCCGTGAATTGCCCCAGAGAGTGGCAAGGAAGCTGGAGTATTTATCCACCATCTCTCATTCATCCCTCATATGTTGAGGGTTGCTCCTGCCCCACCCAAGAGAAAGTCCCCAGGTGGAGTGTCTCAGGTGTTGGCAGTCAGATGCTCTCAGCATGCACTAGAATGGTAAGTTCCAAGATGTGGGAAGTAGAAAACTTCCTTTTTAAAGTTTCCTTTCTTGTTAAAGAATAAATGTGCTAATAACTTTGTTAAGCCCTAACCCATAATGTTGAAATTAAGACACCTTATGTTAGAGGGTGGACACATGAACCAATTGGAGTCAACAGAAAAATCATCCACAAGGTTGAGTGCAGTGGCTCATGCCTGCAATCCCAGCACTTTGAGAGGCCAAGGTGAGTGGATCATCTGAGGTCAGGAGTTCGAGACCAGCCTGGCTAACATGAGGAAACCTGTCTCTACTAGAAATACAAAAATTAGCCAGGCATGGAGGTGGGCACCTGTAATCCCAGCTACTTGGGAGGCTGAGGCAGGAGAATTGCTGAAACCCAGGAGGTGGGGGTTGCAGTGAGCCAAGATTGTGCCATTGCACTCCAGCCTGGGTGATAAGAGCCAGACTCCACCGAAAGAAAAGAAACGAAAGGAAAGGAAATGAAAGAGAGAGAGGAAGGAAGGAAGGAAGGAGGGAAGGAAGGAGGAAGGAAGGAAGGAAGGAAGGAAGGAAGGAAGGAAGGAAGGAAAGAAAGAAGGAAAAGAAAAATAAATCACTCCAGCCTGGGTGACAAGAGCAAGACTCCATCAAAAAGGAAGAAAGAAAGGAAGGACGGAAGGAAGGAAGGGAGGGAGGGAGGGAGGGAGGGAGGGAGGGAGGGAGGAAGGAAATTATTGGTTATAAAAGTGATTGCTGGCACATCCTATGCAATATATCTAAATTGAATAATGGTACCAGATAAAATTATAGATGGGAATGAAGCTTGTGTATCATCCATTATCATGTGTAATCAATACATGATTTATTTCTCTTGGAAAAAAGAGAGAGAGAGAGGGAGAGAGGGAGGGAGAGAAGAAGGGAAATCAACCACAAGACTAGAAGTTTCTCTCTTCCCTGGAAAGAGCACTATGACCTATGATCTTTGCACCTATTTTGGTAACACAGAGAGAGGGCTGGAGCTGTGTGGTGCAGGGAAGAGAGGCTATGCTGGGTGCCATGTGGAGCATGTAGGTTAAACTGATACCCAGAGAAGGCTGTAGAGATAGAAACTTAGCCATCATTGACTACATTTGAGCCACTAGATCAAATCTCCCCTGAAATTGGTCCTTTTTATTTCAATGAGCTAATAAACACCTTTCTTGTTTAAGCCAGTAGACTTTTGTGTCATTTGCAACCAGAAGCATCCAACCGACAGGGAGAATCAATGAGCATTAAATCCTATCCTCCTTTCCTGAAGACACCGGTGTAAACAGAACCTTGTCTTGGAGCACAATTGGTTGCAAGAAGCAGAAACCCACCCAAGCTGGTATAAGTAAAGAAGTATTTCTTACATAGGTCCAAGGTATCTCCAGAACCCAAAGGAGCATAAAGTAAAAGTGAAATGCATGCAGAGCCATCATCAGACACTTAGAAAGCAATTAATAAATACCTGTTGATCTCAACGAAATGAACACTCCATTAACTGGAATTCATACTGCATTGGGAGCTGGATAACCCCTCCAGCCCTCAAGGAGCCATTTGACCTCTCACTTCTGATTCTCCCTGAATATTAGCTTCATTCTTCTGCCCTGTTTGCTCATCTGTTCGCCCACCACCTCGAACTGGCCACTGATAGTTCTGATTCTGTTTGTGACCTTCAGAGCTCCACCAACTGGACAACGTTCTTAGCCTCTCTATTAAAGAAAGTTCTCAAGCAAAAGAATCTGATTGGCTCAGCTTAAGTCAGGTGACCACCACTAATACAATCACTACTCATCTCCCAAAAGAGGAAGCGTGAGTAGACAGGTAAGTCAAATATATTTACCCCAAGATGGGAACTTAAGTTAGCCCTGGGTGGGGGAAATAGAAGTCCCACTGCCAACACTCCCCACCTTAGCTAGACACAGACCAACAACACTGAGTGGTAACTATTCCTTTATTAGGTGGTGAGGGGAGTGGGGGCTGTACAATGCAGGGCTTGGGAATTCAGCTACACAGGGATTATGACCAGAAGCCATATTACAAAAATAGCCTAAAAATACTTCTATTCTGCTATGATGCTGGGCCAGGGGATTACCAGGAAGAGGAGGTACCACTCAGGCAGCTCCTCCTCTTCTTGTAGTCCCACATTTACAGGGAGACAAAGGAATGCACACATCTCCCCTGGACCCCATTTCCCACCAGCAGCCCCCTAGTTCCCAAAGGGAGGTGGCCCAGGGTGGGGCTGGGGCAGGGGGAGTTGGCAGTGGGCCCTTCCCCAGCAAGGCTATGGAACACGTCCCATCTGGAATGCAGTGAAGTGAGGGAGGTGGGGTGGGGAGGAGGCTCCCAATTCTCCCCCAACCCCTGGCCCCAGTGGGCATGCCCAAGGGTGCCTACTTGGTACATACCTGGGTGGTGTACTTGGTACACGGGAGCCCAGTCATGCCTGTGTACTCGGTACACAGAATCCAGCTTGGCCGAATGGGCTCACAAACTCAGCCCCACAGGGGCACTGGGGGGTTCACAGGGGAGGGAGCATCTCCATATATATATTTTGTAAAAAATAATAATAATAAGTTTGTTTAAATGAATTTGTTTCTATACAAAATGTAAAAAACAAAAAAAAAGGAAAAAGAAAAAAATAATAATTCGTTCATGTCAGAGTATAAGGAAATGAGAGACCAGAAGGAGAAAGACAGGAATGAGAGAAGGGAGAAGGGGGGAAGGAGGAGGTCCCAGACTCTTCACAAGGCTGACAGGGTGGGTGGTAGCCCCCACCCGTTATAAATAAAGGAAGACTGAGGCCCTGGGCTGATGACATATCTCAGTCACACTGCAAGGCAAGGAGGCAGGAGGGCTGGTGGAGAGAGAGAGAAGATGAAAAAGACTAAAAGGAAGGAAGAGACAGAGAAAGAAAGTAGGCAAGTTGGGGGTCTCTTCAGTGCCCCCCAAGATGTAAGAACTGAAGAGCATCTCAGGCCAACACTTGCCTCTTGGGGGTGACTTCCGGCTGGGGCCCCAGCTGGGTCTGGGCCTGAGCAAGGGAGCTGGGAACAGACAAGGGGAGTGGCTGGGAAGGCAGTGCCCCCGTAGTGGTGGCCATGGCCCCAGTGGCAGTGGCCGGGCTGGGTGTGGATTCGGACCAGTCCGAGAGGGAGGGAGGCGAGGGGCTGGCCCAGTGGTCCGGGGATTCTGGGGATGGGGTAAGGTAAGGGTGCTCGCTGGGCACCCGCAGGAAGCGGGCCTTTGGGGGGCTGCTGTGTGCCCCAGCTGCCGGGTACTCCTCGCCGTGTCCTGGGACTGCCAGGTAAGGCGGGGGCCGCTCCTGCGGGGAGACAGGGGTCCCTGGGTTGAGCAGCTGGGGTCCCGGAGCCAGTGGCAGCAGGAATGAGGGGCCTGGGGGGGCAGGTGGGGGCAGCCGGGCCCAATCGAGGGGGACAGCCACGGGGTTCAGCAGGCCCAGGCTGAGCACGCATCCTCCAGGGGGCTGGCGTCCTAGACCCGCGCGGCCTGGGCCACCAAGCTGCGCCAGAGACACTGCAGTGGCAGTGGCAGCTGCATAGGGCCCCTCAAGGGGGAAGCCACCAGGGGAAGCAGGGGGCCCCCCAAAAGGCCGCGGGGAGTCCAGCGAGTCTACGGGCGACAGTGTGACCGAGCTGTCGGCCAGGGGGCCCGGGCAGGCCAGCGTCAGCTTCTTGCCTCGCCCCCGGGGCCCCTGCGGCCCCAGCCCCGCCTTCCCGGGGGGCCTCCTGCTCTTCTTGGCCCCCGACTGTGCCGCCTTGAGGCCAGGGAGGAAGGCCCCTGGAGGGCAGAGCAGAGGCCCCAGGCCGTGGGGCCCCGGGGGGCTGCGGGGCCCACTGGGTTGATCCAGCAAGCGCACGATGTCCTGGTGCAGTCGCTCCTGGGCGACGTCCCGCGGCAGCCTGTCCAGGTGGTCGGTGATCTCGCGGTTGGCGAAGTGGTCCAACAGCAGCTTGGCAGCCTCGTAGCTGCCCTCGCGGGCGGCCAGGAACAGGGGCGTCTCCTCCTGGGGGGCCAGAACCCACAGAGGTCAGCGTCAGCCCCCCTCCCCCCGGCTGACAGTAGCAAGGTCTTCCAGCCTCTTGGCGGATCCCGGGAGCTGTGAGTTTAGACACTGGCGCTTAACAGACCTGGGTTAAATCCCAGCTCAGCTAGGGTAGCCTTCACACCTTTCCTCTAAACCACATTCATCCAGCACCTACTTTTATTTATTTATTTATTTATTTATAGACATAGTTTCACTCTTGTTGCCCAGGCTGGAGTGCAACCGTGAGATCTCGGCTCACTGCAGCCGTCACCTTCTGGATTGAAGCGATTCTCCTGCCTCAGCCTCCCAAGTAGCTGCCATTATAGGCACCTGCCACCACACCCCGCAATTTTTTTGTATGTTTATAGAGATGGGGTTTCACCATGTTGGTCAGGCTGGTCTCAAACTCCTGACCTCATGATCCACCCACCTTGGCCTCCCAAAGTGCTGGGATTACAGGCGTGAGCCACCGTGCCCGCCTTCATCCAACATCTACTAAGTGCCAGGGGTCAAGGCCAAGACTAGGGTGAGTTAAGCAAGGTACTCACCTTAGACATAACTTTTATTTTCTTTTCTTTTGTCTTTTTTTGAGACAGAGTCTCACTCTGTCACCCAGGCTGGAGTGTAGTGGCGCAATCTCAGTTCATTGCAACCTCCGCTTTCCAGATTCAAGTGATTCTCCTGCCTCAGCCTCCCAAGCAGCTGGGATTACGGGTGTGCACCACCACACCTGGCTAATTTTTGTATTTTTAGTAGAGACAGGGTTTTACTACATTGACCAGGCTGATCTCGAACTTCTGACCTCAAGTGATCCACCCACCTCAACCTCCCAAAGTGCTGGTATTACAGGTGTGAACCATGGCACCCAGCCATTAGGCACAAAATTTAAGGAGCCACCAAAAACTTTAGTCACCAAAGTAAATGGTATTTTAATGCAATGTTTTGGGTTTTTTTGTTTGTTTTTGAGATGGAGTCTCACTCTATCACCCAGGCTGCAGTGCAATGGCGCAATCTCAGCTCACTGTAACCTCTACCTCCCAGGTTCATGTGATTCTGTTGCCTCAGCCTCCCAAGCAGCTGGGATTATAGGCACCTGCCACCGTGCCTGGCTAATTTTTGTATTTTCAGTATAGGTAGGGTTTCACCACATTGGCCAGGCTGGTCTTCTGACCTCAAGTGATCTACCCGCCTCAGCCTCCCAAAGTGCTGGGATTACAGGCATGAGCCAACATGCCCAGCCTGCAATGTTTTGTTTTGTTTGGTTTTTTAAGTAAGATTAATTTTACAAAAATGAATAAAATAGTAAAATGTTAAATCAGAACAGAATCTACCTCCTGCATACCTCTGAGCCTCATCCTTCTCATTTGTAAAATGAGGTTACAAAATACCACCTTGCAAGGGTTTTAAACAACAATCATTACAGTAACCTTTAATGAGGATTTGCTAAGCACTTTACAAATGCATTGGCTCGCTGAATCCTCAGAAGATGCAATGAAGTGATTACTGTTGCTTCCTCACTTCACAGATGAGGACAATGAGGTTCAGAGAATTTCAGAGAAGTTAAGCAACTTGCTCAAGATCACACAGCGGTTGTCACAGACTTCCTCCAATCCACTGTTGGAACCTCTTGGCCCCAAGTTCTACCCCCAAAAGCTGGCAGGGTGAATGTCCCCACCAGCCTTACCTCACCCTGGTCTCTGTCACCTTCAGGGTGCTGTGCCAGTGCTGACCCCGGTGGACCCAGGGCGGGAGCTCACCTTGCTATCCTGCATGTCTTTGTTGGCGCCATTTTTGAGCAGGGCCAAAGTGGCTTCCACGTTGTTCACAGCCGCAGCCCAGTGTAAGGCTGATTTCCCTGGAGGGTGGAGGGGAGAGAGGTCAGGATCAGGCTTATGTCTTGGAATCCCTATGTCAGAGAGGCAGAAATTGTCTAGAATGTGGAGGGGTAGATGAGGCAGGCCTGCCATGAATATCCAGGTACTTGTGTCTGGGTCCATGTGTATGCAAATCTGCAAAATGATTCTTACTGTGCAATGGGGAGGCACTGCCTGTGTGTGTGTGTGCACATGCATGACTGCCTATACACAGTGGGAGCTGTGTGGACCTCATTCGGTTGATCCTAGGGTTGTGCTGTCTAATACATTAGTCAGTTACATGTGGTTCTTATTTATCTATTTATTTATTTTTGTTGGTTTTTTTTTTTTTTTTTTTTTTTTGAGACGGAGTTTTGCTTTTGTTACCCAGGCTGGAGTGCAATGGCGCGATCTCGGCTCACCGCAACCTCCACCTCCTGCGTTCAGGCAATTCTCCTGCCTCAGCCTCCTGAGTAGCTGGGATTACAGGCACGCGCCACCATGCCCAGCTGATTTTTTGTATTTTTAGTAGAGACGGGGTTTCACCATGTTGAGCAGGATGGTCTCGATCTCTTGACCTTGTGATCCACCCGCCTCGGCCTCCCAAAGTGCTGGGATTACAGGCGTGAGCCACCGCGCCCGGCTTATTTATTTATTTTTGAGGCAGTGTCTTGCTCTGTCACCCAGGCTGGAGTGAATTGACGCAGTCTCAGTTCGCTGCAACCTACACCTCCTGGGCTCAAGCAATTTTCCTGCCTCAGCCTTCCTAGTAGGTAGGACTACAGGCATATACCACCATGGCTGGATAATTTTTTGTATTTTTGATAGAGATGGGGTTTCACTACGTTGCCCAAGCTGGTCTCGAACTTCTGAGCTCAAGTGATCCATTGGCCTTGGTCTCCCAAAGTGCTGGGATTACAGGCATGAGCCACCATACCCAACCCACATGTGGTTCTTTAGATTTAAATGTAATAAAATAAGTGCCAGGACCATTCAATGGGGAAAGAATGGTCTTCTTAACTAATGGTGCTGGAACAACTGAATATTCACATCCAAAGAATGAAGTTGGACCCCTACCTCACATCTTATACAAAAATTAACTCAAAATGGATCAGAAACTTAAATATAAGAGCTCCAACTATAGAACTAAACATCTAGAAGAAAACATAAGAGTAAATCTTCATAGCCTCGAATTAGGCCGAGATTCTTAGATATGACACCAAAACCACAAATAACACTAACAACTACAAAATATGGACATGATCAAAATTGAAACTTTTGGCCAGGCACAGTGGCTCATGCCTGTAATCTCAACACTTTGGGAAGTCAAGGTGGGAGTATTGCCTAAGGCTAGGAGTTTGAGATAAGCCTGGGCAACAAAGTGTGACCCCCATCTCCACAAAAAAAACTAAAAATTAGCCAGGTATGCTGGCACACACCTGTAATACCAGCTACTCGGGAGGCTGGGATGGGAGGATCACTTGAGCCTGGGAGTTTGAGGCTCCAGTGAGCTGTAATTACACCACTGCACTCCAGTCTGAATGACAGAGCAATATCTTATCTCTAAAAATTAAAAACAAAAAAAGTGATTCATCAATACAATGGAATAGCATTCAGCTGAATTATGCTACAACATGGGTGAACCTTGAAAACATAATGCTAACTTTAAAAAGGCAGACAAAAAGACCACATATCATATGATTCCACTTATATGAAATATCCAGAACAGGCAAATCCATGGAGACAGAAAGCAAATCAGCGGCTGCACAGGCCTGGAGATGAGGGGCTTGGCAGGTGATGGTTCAGTGGTGAGAGTTTTTTCTTCAGGTGGTAAAATGTTCTAAAATTAATTGTGGCAATAGTTGTACAACTCTGATTATACTAAGAGCCATTGAATTGTGCACTTTAAATGGGTGAATTGTATGGCCTGTGAATTATATCTCAATAAAGCTTTTTTTTTTTTTTTTGAGATGGAGTTTCACTCTTGTTTTCCAGGCTGGAGTGCAATGGTGCGATCTCGGCTCCCTGCACCCTCTGCCTCCTGGGTTCAAGCGGTTCTTCTTCTCCCAAGTAGCTGGGATTACAGGTGCCCTATGCCCCGCTAATTTTTGGTATTTTTAGTAGAGATGGGGTTTCGCCATTTTGGCCAGGCTGGTCTCAAACTCCTGACCTCAGGTGATTCACCAACCTCGACCTCCCAAAGTGCTGGGATTACAGGCATGAGTCACAGAGCCCGGCCAAAGCTGTTTAAAAAATATAAATAAATAAAAGACCAGGTGCGGTGGCTCACACCTGTAACCCCATTATTTTGGGAGGCTGAGGCAGGTGGATCAACTGGGGTCAGATGTTCAAGACCCGTCTGGCCAACATGGCAAAACCCTGCCTCTACTAAAAATACAAAAAATTAGCCAGTGCACCTGTAGTCCCAGTTACTTCAGGTGGCTGAGATAGGAGAATCACTGGAACCCGGAAAGTAGAGGTTACAGTGAGCCCAGATCACATCAATGCACTCCAGCCTCAGCAACAAGAGCAAGACTCCATCTCAAAAAAAAAAAAAAAAAAAAAACAGAAAACAAAAAGGTAACAAAAGGAGAGAAAGAAAATAAATGAACTAAAACATTTAGATCTTCATTTGCCCCAGACACAGTTCAAGTGCTCAACAGTAACCACATGTGGCCAGTGGCTACCATATTGGACAATGCAGAGAATAATTCCATCATCACAGAAAGTCTTATTGGCCAGCCCTGCTCCAGAGCCCTGCTCCAGAGCTGTGGTTTTCAACCAGGAGAAATTCCACAACCACCCCCATGCCCCCTGGGCATTTGGCAATTGAACCTGTTTTTTTTTTTGAGACAGAATCTGTCACCCAGGCTGGAGTGCGGTGGCATGATCTCAGCTCACTGCAACCTCCAGCTCCTGGGTTCAAGCAATTCTCCTGCCTCAGCCTCCCAAGTAGCTGGGTTTACAGGCACCCACCACCACACCCAGCTAATTTTTGTATTTTTAGTAGAGATTTCACCATGTTTGCCAAGCTGGTCTCGAAATCCTGACCTCAAGTGATCTGCCCACCTTGGCCTCCCAAAGTGCTAAAATTACAGGTATGAGCCATTGTGCCCAGTCTGGATATGTTTTTGACTGTCACAATGTAGGGGTGGGATGCTACTGGCATCTAGTGGGTTGAGGCCATGGATGCTGCTCGACACCCTGCAATGCACAGAACAGCTCCCCACAGCCAAGAACCATCCAACCCCAAATGTCAATAGTGCTGAAACTGGGAACAACTCCTCCAAAGGATGTGAGTGTCTTGAGTGTATGTGTGGCTGTGTGACGTCCTCTGGACAGGAGGCCAGGATGGATACTGTGAATCTGCATGGTTGGGCTCTACGAACAAGTTACCTCCAGCAAGTTGCGATCACATATAGATTAGGTTGATGTAAACTCTTTTTTTTTTGAGACAGAGTCTTGCTCTGTCACCCAGGCTGAAGTGCAGTGGCACAATCACAGCTCACAGCCTCAACCTCCTGGGCTCAAATGATATTCCCACCTCAGTTTCCTGAGTAGCTAGGACCACAGGTGTGCACCACTGCACCTGGCTAATCTTTTAAAAGATTTTTATAGAGCCCACTATGTTGCCCAGTCTGGTCTCAAGGCATCCTCCCGCCTTGGTCTCCCAAAGTGTTGGGATCACAGGCATGAGCCACCACACATGGCCTGATGTGCACGCTTATTGTAACAACTTCCAGCACGTGGAAGCAGAGTGTGTCCTCTAACAAAGCAGATGGAAATGAACTGTCTAAGGGAAAGGCACCTTTTTCTCAATCCCTGAGGTACCCTAAGGACTAGTGGTGCCCCTGCATGAAAGTGTAGATTCATGAAGCCTGGTTATGTGTGCATGAACTTCAGTGGCTGGGTCTCAACATGGGTATGAGTTTGCACCAACATGACCCTTGGGGCCCAGGTGACACTAACCCAGCCTAGACCCAATTCCTCTGCCAACCTACCAAGCTCATCCACAGCATTGACATCAGCATGGCTGGCAATGAGCTCTTCCACCATGCCCTCCACTGCCAGGCGGGCTGCCAGAATCAGTGCCGTTGAGCCATCTGCCATGCGAGCATCCAAGTCTGTAGAGCGATTTCGGATGAGAATCTATGACAGAGAGTGGATGCAGCAGGAGGAGTCATGGCAGGAACAGAGGAATCAGGAGCACCCCGAAGCCCCATGAAGTCCCCAACCACCAAACCCTGACCCCTGAAATTGATGAGGTTCAGGGAGCAGCTGCTTGACAGGTATGGCAGCTGTACTCCCACATATACCCATTTTCCAAAGGAGAAAAAAATGAGCTCTGAAAGGCAGACCTGGGGCTCAAATCCAGATAAATCTAATGCCTGCCCCAGCTCTGAAGTCTAAAGGGTGTGTCTGTCTCACCTGGAAGACACCCTGGGCATCAGCTGTAACAGCTGTGTGCAGGGGAGTGCGGCCTGAGTGGTCCTGGGCATTGGTGTCTGCCCCAGCATCCAGCAGCCGCTTAGCTGCATCAGCACGGGCATAACGGGCAGCCAGATGCAACGCAGTCTCGCCAGTACGGTCGGTCCGTGCCCCAAGCTGAGCCCCCTGGCAGATCAGGTCTGAGATGATGCTGGCTGATGTGTCATCTGCCTCATCCTCCTCAGTCGGCATTGGCTCCAGGGCCCCCCCACAGAAGGAAGCCAGCATTAATGGGGTGAAGCCATCTGCGGGGACAGGAGTGTGTCAGCAGGGAGGTAAACACAGGGCTCTTCCCAGGGAATATAATCAAGGGCACCACATTAGGAGCTCATGGGACACATGGGAGGCCAAGGATTGGCAGATCCTCCTGTCTGCACACCCACACCCAGGATGAGGATTTGTAGGCATGTAATTTATCACAGAACGACTCCTAGGGACCAGGTAACACAGGACAAGGGGCTCTGGGAGTCAAGCAAGTGTGCAACCTCCAGTAAATTCCTAAAGGGTTATTCCACCCTGATCCCACAGAGGGACTCTGGAACATGAGTTGTACCCCAGAGTTCTAATCCAGCTCAAAAGACCATCCCTTTCATACTACTGCCTCCACTGGTTAGGAGCTGCCCCTTTCAGCCAATTCATTAGAGTATTTTAAAAAAAAAAAAGCTGCCCCAGGGACATAAAATCCCAGGCACTTCAGGCTCCAGTAGCCAGACGGACTTCAAAAGAAAGCCATTAAGCACAGTACATTTGGAGTAAAAGCAAAATGAAGCTAAGGCAGGAATACCCTGAAACATGGCAAAGATGGATCTCAGAGGATCAAACAACATAGTCCGCTACACTGCACATACTGTATACAAGTACTTGTCCTGGTTTTTCTTAGGAAGCCACCTGCATCTGGTTCTCCATTCTCAAGCCCTGGGTAGAGACCAACCTTCCCCCTGGCTCAAGGACAGGTAAGCAAATCAGGCTTAGTCAATTTGCATATTCCAGCCTCCTGGCCATTCTGATTGGCTCAAGGATGAGCACATGACCCTAGTCTGTCCAATCAGAATGCACCCTGAGACTTTTGTTGGAGCATTAGGAAGGTTTTGTAAGATTGAAGTCAAACGAGGGAGAAAATCTGAGTCCTGGATCCAAATGGGCCCACCACTTTTAGTTACATGAGTCAATAAATCCCTTGTTTCACTTAAGCTAGTTTGAGTTGGGCCTTTGTCACTTCCAACCAAGAGTCTTGCTGAACACACACCCTTCACAGAAGCTTAGAGACCCCCAAACACAGACTCAGAAATTTATCTCTCCCCAAAACACAGACTCAGAAATAACCTCTCACAAGTAGGATGGGTGAGGGGTATCACTTTGGGAGGGGCACTGTCACTGACCTGGGCCACGCACATTGACATCCATGCCATCAGCATCTGCGTCGCCCTGTGGTGGTGTCAGTGCCATGGCTGGTGCCACGCGGATGTCAGCAGCAACCAGATGGTGTTGAGTCCACTGACGGCAATCCACGGCTTCCTCAGCCCCCATGCCTGGCTCCTCTACCTGAAGGGGCAGGTACCCGGAGTCTCAGACCTCACTCTAAGACCTCACCCTTTGGAGGTGGGGAGAGCCACTGCCAGGGGTGGGGCTGGGTATTCCTACAGGTTTCTCTTTAGGAGATGTACACAGAGCCCTGGTAAATCATTTACCATCTGCTTGTTTTTTTTTTTTAATTTGTTTGTTTTGAGATGTAGTCTCACTCTGTTACCTAAGCTGGAGTGCAATGATACGATCTCAGCTCACGGCAACCTCTGTCTCGTGGGTTCAAGTAATTCTCCTACCTCAGCCTCCCAAGTAGCTGGGATTACAGGTGCATGCCACCATGTCCGACTAAGTTTTTATATTTTTAGTAGTGATGGGATTTCACCATGTTGGCCAGGCTGGTCTCGAACTCCTGACCTCAAGTCATCCACCCACCTTGGCCTCCCAAAGTGCTGGGATTAAGGGGAAATTGATGTGTGCCACAGCCCAGGGAGCTAATAAAAGGAAGACACAAGATTTGTCTTTTTCTTTCTTTCTTTTTTTTGTCTCTTTAAGTAATAAATGGCTTTAATGATTTATGTATATATTTTTTAGAGACTGAGTCTCACTGTGTCACCCAGGCTGGAGTGCAGTGGTACAATCATAGCTCACTGCAGCCTCAACTTCCCAGGCTCAAATGATCCTCCCACCTAACCGGCCTGAGCAGCTGGGACTATAAGCACGTAGTATAAGCAACTTGGGATAGTGTCAGAGGTAGATTCAGGTTCCAAACCACCCCTTAGTAGCTGGGAGGCTCTGGGCAAATCACATTAAAGCGCTGAGCTTCTCATTGGCAAAATCAGGATGACACAGTCATTCCACTATGCCAAGATACCACCACGACTACATTGGGCTAACCCGTTAATACCTCCAATACCTACTTTGGGATGGGAAAGAAAAAAGAAAAGTCTGGGTTAAGCAAATTTTTTTTATCTGTCCACCATAAAGGATGTCTCCATTTCACAACATTGCACGGAGGAAGGGAGTTGTGAATCGAACTATATGTCAATAGCTACTTCATGGGATCCTCAAAGAGATGAAATAAGATGTCTGATGTTCATTAGAGACATTTATGGGTAATGCTAGCAGGAGTCTGGAATTGTGCCCCCTCTAAAAATCATACACTGGCCAGGCGCGGTGGCTCATGCCTGTAATCCCAGCACTTTGGGAGGCCAAAGAAGCTGGATCACTTGAGGTCAGGAGTTCGAGACCAGCCTGGCCAACATTGTGAAACCCTGTCTCTCCTAAAAATACAAAAATTAGCTGGGCGTGGTAGCATAGGCCTGTAATCCCACTATTCTGGAGGCTGAGGCAGGAGAATCGCTTGAACCTGGGAGGTGGAGGTTGCAGTAAGCTGAGATTGTGCCACTGCACTCCAGCCTGGGCAACAGAGTGAGACTTGGTCTCAAAAAAATACAATAAAAATAAAAATAAAAATCATACACTAAAACCCTAAATCGTATCTAAAACTTCCAGCTGGGCACAGTCGCTCACACCTGTAATCCCAGCACTTTGGGAGGCAGGCAGATCACCTGAGATCAGAAGTTCAAGACCAGCCTGGCCAACATGATGAAACACCTTCTCTACTAAAAATACAGAAATCACCCAGGCGTGGCGGCAGGCATCTGTAATCCCAGCTACTCAGGAGGCGGAGGCAGGAGAATGACTTGAACATGGAAGGTGGAGGTTGCAGTGAGCCGACATCGCACTCACTTCACTCCAGCCTACGCAACAAGAGTGAAACCCCATCTCAAAAAAAAAAAAAAAAAACAAAACTTTCATGTCCCTGCATTTGGAGATAGGATTTGTTTTTTAGACAGGGTTTTGCTCTGTTGCCCAGGCTGGAGTGAAGTGGTGCAATCATAGCTCACTGTAGCCTCCACCTCCTGGACTCAAGCAATCCTCCTGCTTCAGCCTCCCAAGTAGCTGAAGTTATAGGTGCAAGCCACCAAGCCTGGTGAGATAGGCCTTTAAGGAGGTAATTAAGGTTATATGAGGTTATAAAGGTGGGACCCTAATCCAATAGGACTAGTATCCTTATAAGAAGAGGATGGGGGCCAGGCACGGAGGCTCATGCCTGTAATCCCAGCACTTTGGGAGGCCGAGGCAGGCAGATCACGAGGTCAGGAGTTTGAGACCAGCCTGACCAACATGGTGAAATCCCGTTTCTCTCTCTCTCTTTCCTTTGTCTACACAGAGGAAAGGCCACGTGAGGCTACAATGAGAAGGCAGCCGTCTGCAAGCCAGGAAGACAGCCCTCACCAGGAACCAACCCTGATGACACTTTGGGCTTGAACTTCCAACCTCCAGAACCGTAAAAAAATAAATTCCTGTTTAGGTCACTTATTCTGCAGGACATTTTTTTCCCCCAAAGTTTCACTCCTGTTGCTCAGGCTGCAGTGCAATGGTGCAAACTAGGCTCACTCCAACGTCCACCTCCCAGGTTCAAGGGATTCTCCTGCTGAGATTACAGGAACCTGTCACCATCCCCAGCTAATTTTTTGTATTTTTAGTAGAGCTGGGGTTTCACCATTTTGCTCAGGTTGGTCTCAAACTCCTGACCTCAGACTATCCACCTCCCGGGGATTTTTTTAATGGCAGCCAAAGCTGACTGATACTGAACCCAAGGGCATGATTCCAAGAGATGAAATGGTGCTCAGAACCTGCTTGGAGCACCATTCAGGCTAAGCCCATGCTGGACAAAGTAGGAACCAACAGAGGTAAGGCAGACTTGCTCTCTGGGCTAGGGAACCCCCCCAGAAAGAGTGCAGGCTGGCCAGGAAGCAGAAGCCTAGCTGGGGAGGGGCAGGATAGAGTGAAGGATTTTCACCTGCCCACAGGGACCCTGGGGGCCCCAAGGGCAAATCTCCTTCTGAGGCCACAGAACCACGCAAAGAAAACAGGGTTGCAAAGCTGTGACTATTCTCTGGAGCTGGGGAGATGGGGACAGAGGCAACATCCCAAGCGCTCCCATTAGCCACTGAGGACCCCACCCAGTACCCTGAAGGAAAGGGTCAGAGGACGGGGCAAAGGTCAGAGGAATGGGCAGTACCTTCAGCCGCTTGGCCTCTGGGCACTCTGTGTCCATCCAGTCTGTGGCCACCTCCCCCATCAGACTCTCACCCTTGGCCATGTTCCTGGCGGACAATGGGAAGAGGAGATGTGAGAGGGGACACTAGAGCTGTCCAGCTGGGAAGGAGGATTTGGGGTGAGGTCAGAGGTCAGAGTCAGGTCAAGGCGGGGTCCAGGGCTCACAAGGTCCCCGTAGTCAGGGACAGGGAGCCAGCAGGGTCCTCACTTCATGCCCAGCGCGTCTTGGCCCACGGGTTCCCGCCGTCCCTTGTGACCAGCGGCCACGTCCTTGTGCAGTGCGAAGCCCTCGGGGAACCAGAGGGTGCTGTGCTCGCGCTTGCGCCGGGCCACCATGACGCCCAGGACGAGGATGACCAGCAGCAAGACGGCGCCGGCCGCCAGCAGCGGCAGCAGCGGGACGCTGGGCTCTGGAGACTCCAGAGGCTCCCCTAAAGGCAGGAGGCAGGGGGCGGGGCTTCAGCAGGGGGTGTGGCTTCGACTACCCCCACCCCCCCCACCCCACCCCCCGCTCCGCCCTCGCCAGACCCTCCCCAAGTCCGGGCCGCACCCCGCACGTCCCGCAGTGGATACGGGAAGTCCAGGCGCTCCACCGCTGACAGCGCTCCCAGGTAGTCAGCGGCGCTCTGGGCGTCGGGGAAGCAGTGATCATTCTCAGGCGACTGTAGGCAGAGCCGGTTGTCAATCTCCAGCATCACTACCGAGCTGCAGGGACAGCAGGGAGGGACCAGAGGGCTCAAGAGTTGCCTGATATACCCCCTGGCACCAAGCCCCACCTTGCCTCCCGGGCGCGTGGCTCAGAAGCGCCATTTCCACCCACAGGTGTCCATGGCCCACCTACATCCAGCTGGCATCCAACCCCACCGCAGGCCCAAAATGTGTCTTGCTGTGGTCAGCAGTACCCACAGAGCCGTGAATCCAATGGACATTGTTTTTTGGTCTTGCGCCCAGGCTAGAGTGCAGTGGTGCGATCTCAGCTCACTGCAACTTCCGTTCAAATGATTCTCCTGCCTCAGGCTCCCAAGTAATTGGGATTACAGGCACGTGCCACAACGCCCAGCTAATTTTTATATTTTTAGTGGAGACAGGGTTTCACCATGTCACCAGGCTGGTCTTGAACTCCTGACCTCAAGTGATCCTCCTGCCTGGGCCTCTCAAAGTGCTGGGATTACAGGCATGAGCCACCGTGCCCAGTCTATTTTTTTGTTTTTTGTTTTGTTTTGTTTCTTAAGACATGGTCTCACTCTGTCCCCCAGGCTGGAGTGCAGTGGCGCGATCTCAGCTCACTGCAACCTCCAACTCCCTGGTTCAAGCAATTCTCCTGCCTCAGCCTCCCGAGTCGCTGGGATTATAGGCACGCACCACCCCGCATCCAGCTAATTTTTGTATTTTTAGTAGAGACGGGGTTTCATCATGTTGGCCAGGATGGTCTCGATCTCCTGACCTCATGATTTGCCCGCCTCAGCTTCCCAAAGTGCTGAGAATACAGGCGTGAGCCACTACACCCGGCCTGGACAGTGCTTTTATATCAACATCTTAGTAGCTCTCCTCACGCATCCTAGAGGATGTGATCCTTTACCAGGCTGGTGCACTTATCTCCCCCAGCTGCTATGAGCATGTGCTTCTAATAGACAGCTGCTCCTTCTATCCAGAACTGTCCTCAGCAAAAGGCAGACTCCCTCACTTGGGAGGCAACAACCTCTAGGGCAGCCAGCAGCCAGAAACTGGCTGAGATGCACAGTGCAGCACAAGATGGGTCCTACTCCAAGGTGCTTTTCATGCTCCAAGGCTCCCCATGGGATCAGACTGGGGCCTCCAGCTGAGCCCACCTCCTTCCTTAGTTGATCCCCTACCCCACTCTGTTCCCTCACTCCTTTTCTCTGGGGAGAAGCCTCCAATACATCACATGGATTTGAACCCTTATCTCAAGCTCTGCACCCAGGAACCCAGCCAAAGACCCTTGCTTTCTCCAAATTCTCTCCTTCACTGGGATCCCAGTAACACATGCCCCGATTCAACCCCTATCTCTCCAGCTGTTCTCTCTCTCTCAAGAGACAAGGTCTCCCAGCCTGGCTAACATGGTGAAACCCCATCTCTACTAAAAATACAAAAATTAGCCAGACGTGGTGGGCACCTGTAATCCCAGCTACTCAGGAGGCTGAAGCAGGAGAATAGCTTGAACCCAGGAAGTGGAGGTTGCTGTGAGTCAAAACTGCGCCATTGCACTCCAGCCTGGGCAACAAAGAGCAAGACTCCATCAAGAAAGAAAAAAAAGAAAAGAAAAGAAAAGAAAAGAAGGAAGGAAGGAAGGAGAAAGAAAGAAAGAAAGAGAGAGAGGAAGGAAGGAAGGAAGGAAGGAAGGAAGGAAGGAAGGAAGGAAGGAAGGAAGGAAAAAAGAGAGAGATCGAGGTCTTGCTATGTTGTCCAGGCTGGATTCGAATTCCTGGGCTCCAGAGATCCTCCAAGTAGCTGGGACTACAGGAATGCAACATTGTACCTGGCTCTATTTTCCATGTCTTTAAGAAGAAAAAAAAACCTACATATGCCCTTAGCCACTCTGCCAAGCCATTTAGCCGCCTGCCTCCCCGGGAGCCAGCACTAGACCGGGGCAATTCTACCCCAGAAGCACTAGCTCAATCTGGAGACGCTTTCTGCTTGTCACAGTCAGGAGGCTGTGCTCCTGACATCTAGTGGGTAAAGACTTAAAGTGAAACGAAACACACAAGACCTGGATTAACGGTGTCGCTCCTCTCCCCCGCCCCCACGGCTCTTCCAGGTGGGGTCACTCACCCGATCACCTCGGGGGCCAGCTCCCGGCGGGCCCGGAGTTCGGAGTCAGGACTGGGCCGGTGGTAAGGGAAGACCATGGCCTGGCCGTGCGCGTCCAGGCGAAAGCGCAGCGAGGTGCGCAGAATGGCGCTGAGCCGCTGCAGAAAGTCGGCGCTGGAACGCAGCAGCTCCTCCGGCGGCAGCAGCACTGTGAGCACCAGCACGCCGCGGGCCAGCAGGGCCGGCACCTCGCTGGCACAATCCAGCCCATCCCAGCCGCACTCCTCCGTGTTGCAGCCCTGATCGCAGCGGCCGTCGGCAAAGTGGTCGGCGCAGTACTTCTCGTATACCGGGCTGGTGGGGTGGGGTGAGGCAGAGAGGGGCGGGGTCAGGGGTCAGAGGAGATGATCCCCCATTCCGTGAACACACACGGTAGAGCACAGAGACTCCAGACAAGGCTTGCACAGGGGACTGGAATGAATGTACGAGCCCATGTGAGGCTTTCTGCAAATCTAGCCATTCATTGGATTATTATTATTTCTTTTTTGAGACGGAGTCTCACTCTGCTGCCCAGGCTGAAGTGCAGTGGCGGGATCTTGACTCACTGCAGCCTCCGCCTTCCCGGTTCCAGCAAATCTCCAGCCTCAGCCTCCCAAGTAGCTGGGAATAAAGGCGTGTGCCACCACGCCTGTCTAATTTTTGTATTTTTAGTAGAGACGGGATTTCACCATGTTGGCCAGGTTGCTGTTGAGCTCCTGACCTCAGATGATCCACCCACCTCGGCCTCCCAAAGTGCTGGGATTACAGGCGTGAGCCACTGCACCCAGCCCTGGATAATTGTTTTTTTTTGTTTTTGTTTTTTTTTTAATGGATTTGTTGAAATAGGGCCTTGCTCTGTTACCCAGCCTGGAGTGCAGTGGTTCAATCATAGCTCTCTGCAGTCTCAAAGTCCTGGGCTCAAATGATCCTCCCTACTCAGCCTCCCAAGTAGCTGGGACTGTAAGCCCACACCACACTCCTGGCCTCACTGGCTAACTATTAATTAATCAGTAAGTACTAACTGACTGACTGCCATATGTTGGGCACTGCTGCAGGCACAAGGATAAGGCTTAGCCACAAATCCTGGCCCACGTGCAGCTGGCATTCCACTCCATGAAGATAGACAGTAAAGGAGATACATGAGCCAAATATACAGCATCTCCATCACTCATCGGTAAAATCAAAATACAGGCTAGGGGCAGTGGCTCATGCCTGTAATCCCAACATTTTGGGATGCCGAGGTGGGCATATCACATGAGAACATGAGTTCAAGACCAGCCTGGCCAACATGGTGAAACCCATCTCTACTAAAAATACAAAAATCAGCTGGGCTTGGTGGCCAGTGCCTATAATCCCAGCTACTTGGAAGGCTGAGTCAGGAGAATCACTTCAACCCAGGAGGTGGAGGTTGCGGTGAGCCAAGATCACACCACTGCACTCCAGCCTGGGCGACGGGAGAGAAACCCTGTCTCAAAAAATTTTTAAAAATCTAAATATAAACATGCACACACAGAGTGCTGGATGGAATTAAATGCTAAGGAGAAAAATAAAGCAGAGGAAGGGCTGAGGGTAACCAGGGAGGAGCTCACTGAGAAGGTATGAAGCGATCCTCCAAGTAGCTGGGACTACAGGAATGCACCATTGAAGTGAAATGAAACCACCATTTCAGCAAAGACTTGAAGGAGGTGAGGGAGGAGCCATGTGGGGGAAGAGAACAGCCAAGCAGTGGGAACAGCTTGTGCAAAGGCCCTGGGGTATCTGGGGAACAGTAGAGAGGCCAGCATGGTTGGAGCAGAGTAAGGGGGAAACCAGGGAAGATGAGGATGGGAAGATGAAGGGGATGGAGGCTTCCAAGCAGACAGAGAGATATGCAGAGGAATAGAAGGCGGGGTGTAGGGATGGACAGAAGGACTGCCTAAGATAGGCATACAGAGGGGCAGAAAAGGGGCAGAGAGAGTTAGGGGCATGCACATAGATGAACAGCTATATAGAGGGGCAAAAAGAGTTCATGGATGGACAGATTTGGCCCAAGAATGGACAAGTCGGGGTACAGGAAGACAGTTGGGTACACAGAGGAATAAAAGGAATTCTTAGCCTGGTTCAGTGGCTCAGGCCCATAATCCCAGCACCTTGAGAGGCTGAGCTGAGTGGATCGCTTTGAGCTCAGGAGTTCAAGACCAGCCTGGACAACATGGCAAAGCCCCATCTCTACAAAAAGTACACAAGTTAGTTGGGCTCAGTGGCTCGCACCTGTGATCCCAGGTCCTCAGGAGGCTGAGGTGGGAGGATCAGTTGAGCCTGGGAGGTGGATGTGCAGTGAGCTGAGATCAGGCCACTGCATTCCAGCTTGGGCCACAGAGGGAGACTCTGTCTAAACACAAAGGAATTCAGCCAGGTGCGGTGGCTCACGCCTGTAATCCCAGCTACTCCAGAGGCTGAGGCAGGAGAATTGCTTAAACCCGGGAGGCAGAGGTTGCAGTGAGCCAAGATTGCGCCACTGCACTCCAGCCTGGGCCACAGAGCAAGACTCCGTCTCAAAAAAAAAAAAAAGAGGAATTCTTGGGTGGAGAAAAGGACAAACAAACAGGCACAGAAGTGCATAGGCAGATAGAAACGAGATAGGCAGGGCACGTGGTTGAACAGACAGACAGATGGGCAGATAGAGTGCAAAACGAAACAGGGCAAGTGAATGGGCGGGTGGAAAGACAGGCAGGGACCATGGACAAACACTGGGATGGATGCATGGACAGACGGATCGATCGGGTGGATGGGCTCACTTGCAAGTGCGCTCGCGGCCACCAGCATGGCAGTCGAAGTTGTCGTAGAGGCAGGCGGGCGAGCTGCAGGCGGGGTCGCAGCGGCTATTGTTGAAGAGGCGCCAGCACTGCAGCGCCTCGCACTGCCGCCAGGGGTCGCCCACGCTCAGCGAGCAGTCGCCACCGTCCCAGCCGCAGCCAGGGCTGTTGCACTCGCGATCGCAGCGCTGGTCCCCGCGCTTGGCCTGGCAGGCGGCGCGCGGGCACCGCGGCTCCTCCGGGACCTCGGGTGCCGCGGCGGGCGCCTCGCAGCGCGGTCCGGTCCAGCCCGGCGTGCAAGCGCAGCGGAAGAAGGGCGCGAGTGGCGCGGGGCGGCAGGAGCCCCCGTGGAGACAGGGGGCGGCCGCGCAGCTGGCGTTGGTGGCCCCCGGCGGCGACCCCGGGAAGCTGCGGCAGGAGGGCCCCGACAACCCTGGGGGGCAGGCGCAGCGCGGCCCGCGGGGTGTCTGCTGGCATGGGACGCCCACCGGGCACTGCAGCTCCCGGCAGGAGCGTGCCATCCGCTCGCACCGCGGACCCCAGAACGGCTGGAGGTCGGGTTTGGGGAGAGAGGAAAAAAAGTGAGGGAGGGGAGTAGAAGGAAGGAGTAAAAGAAACGGAAGAGTGGGGAAAAGAAGGGTCAAGGGACAAGAGGGGGAAGAGAAGAAGTCAAAACTAAGGAAGGTTGAGACCTCCCAACCTTCCCATGTCCCACCCAACCTCTCGCCTTTCCACAAGGGAGACCCCACCTGGCAAATAAGCCCCGCCCTCCCTGGAAGCCACGCCCCCCAAACACCTTTCCCTTAACCTCCAGGAAATGTCAGGGGTTTTATTGTGTCTTTGTTTTTTGTTTGTTATTTGAGACGGAGTGTCACCCTGTTGCCCAGGCTGGAGTGCAACGGCACGATCTCGGCTCACTGCAACCTCCGCCTCCCGGGTTCAAGCAATTCTCCTGCCTCAGTCTCCAGAGTAGCTAGAATTACAGGTGCCCGCCACCACACTAGGCTAATTTTTGTATTTTTAGTAGAGACAGGGGTTTCATGTTGCCCAGGCTGGTCATGAACTCCTGGCCTCAAGTGATCCACCCGCCTCAGGCCTCCCAAAGTGCTGGGATTACAGGCGTGAGCCAGCGGAAATGTCAGTATTTCCCAGAAACTCCCTTCTCTTTTTTTTTTTTTTTTTTCTTTTTTTTTGAGACGGAGTTTTGCTCTTGTTACCCAGGCTGGAGTGCAATGGCGCGATCTCGGCTCACCGCAATCCCCGCCTCCTGGGTTCAGGCAATTCTGCTGCCTCAGCCTCCTGAGTAGCTGGGATTACAGGCACGTGCCACCATGCCCAGCTAATGTTTTGTATTTTTTTAGTAGAGACGGGGTTTCATCATGTTGACCAGGATGGTCTCGATCTCTTGACCTCGTGATCCACCCGCCTTGGCCTCCCAAAGTGCTGGGATTGTAGGTGTGAGCCACCGCGCCCGGCCGAAACTCCCTTCTCTTTCCACCTCTCCCCTAAAGCCACATCCTCCTCCTAGAGGCCACGCCCGTAGTTCACAGGAGGCCACGCCCCTACTCCTCCTCCAGAGGCCCACACCCACACCTACCTGGACACAGTGGCAGGTGAAGGTCAACCCACCCCCAGGACCCGGGCTAGGACGGCACTGGCCTCCATGCTGGCATGGCTGAGACTCACAGGGAGACAAAACAGTCTGACAGCGGGGACCTGAGCAAGCAGGAGCATGTAGATTAGCCACAATGACAGGCGGGGTCCCAGGCCAGCCCCTTCTCCAACTTACCTGAGAAGCCAGCATGGCAAAGACAACGGAAACCCCCCCCTGGGTCCTGCAGGCAGTCCCGGGTGTGTGCCACATGACAGGCACCTGAGCGACACTCATTGATGTCTGCCTCGCAGCGCAAACCGGTGTAACCTGGGGGACAGGTGCAGCGGAAGCCGCCCACCAGGTCCACACAGGTGCCATTGTGTAGGCACCGGGGCCCTGAGTCCAGGGGTGGACCTGGGCCGCAGTCATCCTCATTAATCTCACAGAGCACGCCTGGGGGAAGAAACGGGGTGGGGGGGTAGTCAGGACGGGATGAAGACAGCCTCCCATCCTGTCCTCCAACCCTGGCCCTGGCGTACCCAGCGTTCCTGGGGGACAGGAGCAGAGATATCGGGCCACGAGGTCAATGCAGGAGCCCCCATGCTGGCAGGGCTGGGAGGCACACTCGTCTATGTCGTCCTCACAGTTGTCACCATTGTAGCCAGGCAGACACTTCAGTGGGACAAGAGAGGGACCCACTCAGCTTAGTGGGACACAGACACACCTGGACATACCCATGAAGACACAACCCCAGCACAAAAGGACACACACAGATGCCCAGCACACAAAGACATGCCCAGTGTGCAGGACATACACAAAGACAGTCAGTGCAAGGAAACACCCAAACACATAGGGCCACGGACACACTCAGTGCAGAGGGACACACATGCAAACACACAAACACCCCAGCCCAGGTGTAGCGGCTAACACCTGTAATCCCAGCCCTTTGGGAGGCCAGGATGGGAGGATCACTTGAGGCCAGGAGTTTAAAACCAGCCTGGGCAACATAGCAAGACCCCCATCTCTTCCAAAAAAAAAAAAAAGTATATATACATATATATACATACATAAAGAGATATATATATCTTTCCTTCTTTTCTTGCTTTCCAACAGAGTCTTTCTCTGTTGCCCAGGCTGGAGTGCAGTGGTATGACATAGCTCACTTGCAGCTTCAAACTTCTGGGCTCAAGTGGTCCTCCTGCCTCAGCCTCCTGAGTAGCTGGGACTACAGGTATGTGCCTGGCACACACACACACACATATATGCCAGGCATTGTGGTGCACACCTGTAGTCCCACCTACCCAGCTACTCAGGAGGCTTAGGTGAAAGGATCACTTGAGCCCAAGAGTTCGAAGCTGCAAATAAGGTATGATCACACCATTGCTCTTCAGCCTGGGCAACAAAGTGAGACCCTCTCTTAAAAACAAACAAACAAATAAACAAACGCAAGAGGGTTAGGTGCGGTGGTTCATGTCTGTAATCCCAGCCCTTTGGGAGGCTGAGGCAGGAAGATCACCTAAGCCCAAGACCAGACCCTATCTCTCCAAAAAATAATAATAATAATAGCCAGGCATAGTGGCACATGCCTGCAGTCCCAGCTACTCAGGAGGCTGAGGCAGGAGAAGCACTTGAGCCCAGAAGTTTGAGGCTGCAAGTGAGCTATGATCATACTACTGCACTCTAGTCTGGGTGACAGAGCAAGATACTGTCGGAAAGGGAAGGAAGGAAAGAAGGAAGGAAGGAAGGAAGAAAGGAAGGAGAGAGAGAGAGAGAAGGAAAACACCTAGACATCCTAACATATACACAACCAAAGGTGCACACTCAGACACACACAGATATGCCCAGGAAACAGCTGGACAGAGGTTCAGAGAGAAAAACACCCCAGGCTGGGCATGGTGGCTCACAGCACTTTGGGAGGCTGAGGTGGGCAGATCACCTGATGTCAGGAGTTTGAGACCAGCCCGGCCAACGTGGTGAAACTCTGTCTCCACTAAAAATACAAAAATTAGCTGGGTGTGCTGGCAGGCACCTGTAATCCCAGCTATTCGGGAAGCTGAGGCAGGAGAATCACCTGACCCCTGGCGAAGGTTGCAGTGAGCTGAGATTGTACCACTACACTCCAGCCTGGGTGACAGGGTGAGATCTCGACTCAAAAAAAAAAAAAAACCAACACCCCAGATCTACCCACAGTGACATCCACAGATATACCAAGAGTCCCAAAAGCAAAACCTCAGACACGTCTAGAGACATACCCACACCAAGCCACAGACGTACAGAAACGTGTGCCCAGACACACCCAGGCATGCCCACCTCCTCTTCCCTCTCCTGGGGGGCACCCCCTTACCTCACACACATAGCCCCCCATGTAGCCACGGCAGGTCCCCCCATGCTGGCAGGGCTGGGCCAAGCAGGGGTCCACCTCCAGCTCACAGTAGCTGCCAGTACGGCCCTCTGGGCACACACAGTAGTGGGAGCTGTCTTCGTCCACACACTGCCCACCCGCCTGACACAGCTGCTCTGGCCGCACCCCTGCAAAGAGGAGAGTGGCACAGGAACGGCGGTGACCCCATACATCCCCCTTCTGCCTCCATCACACACACCATTCAACATCCTTGCTGGAATGAGTCCCCAGGATCACACCCACACTCCATCAGGTTCTCACACATCCCCCCAGCAGGAAAGGTCTCATCACTGACAAACACACACATGCCTTCGATGCTCACAGCAGCTCGGTCACAACCTGCAGCACACACACCATCCCTGCTGTCTCACGGTAACAACACACACACCATCCTGGCCAAAGTTGTCTCATGCTCACACACCCACAACACTCAGCCACACATCCCATCATGCCCCATAGGCTCTATGGCTCCCCATTCAGCTCATACTAGCAGGAGGTATGTGCACGAGCCCCCTCGTGGAGCCCCACACGCCTGGTCGCGTGCCAGGGGGACCTCACCGATCTGGGCTGAGGCCTCCCTGCAGGGCAGGCTTCGAATGTCACAGAGGCGGCCACTCCACCCTGGGGGACAAAGGCAATATGCCCCAGTCTGGACACAGCGACCCCCGTTTTGACAAGGCTCCCGGCTGCACCAGTCCACCAGCTTCTGGAGGGGAAGCACTCAGAGTCAGTACTGGGGAGTCTGGCGTAGCTGTGCCCAGACTTAGCTTCCCCCTCCTAGGATCCCGGTCAGCCTCCTCCCCCAGGTCCCCAGTAACTCCGCCCACCTGGCACTGGGGGCCCGTGAAGCTCTCGGGGCAGGTGCAGCGGAAGCCAGGATGGGCGGCGCTGCAGACGCCCCCGTGCAGGCAGGGCCGCGAGAGGCAGGGATCTGCCTCATGTTGGCAGTGGGCTCCTGTGTAGCCAGGACGGCACAAGCAGCTGAACGAGTTCACGCCGTCCACACAGGTCCCGCCATTGAAGCAGGAGCTGGAGGTGAAGGAGTGGGAGGGAGAATCAGGCCCCGCCCCCTCGCAGGCCTCGCCCTCCTTCCTGAGTCCTGGATTGGCTCGAGACTTCCCACTCCCTGACCCTTACCTCCACAAGAAGTAGCAGCCCCAGCAGAAGCCAACCAAGTCCCTTAGCTCCATCCAATTCAGGGACTTCAGCCCTAAGCTGGAAGCCATGCCCTCTCAGGCACCTGAGACTCCAAGGTGACCTCCGAAACAGATACCCTGCTTCCCTGGCCCTGCCCCACCAGTCATCAGAGTCCTAAGTGGATCCCAAGTTGAGGACTCTACCCAATCCTTGCTGTCCCCACTTCATCCCAGGCCCCTATCCCAAGCCAGAGTCCCTGCGCTCCAAGCAGGGGCCCCGCCCACCTGGGGCTGCAGTCTGGCAGGTCCTGCTCGCAGTGGAAGCCTCCGTAGCCAGGTGGGCAGGTGCAGGTGAAGGAGGCCACGTGGTCGGTGCAGGTACCCGGGCCGCAGGGGCTGCTCAGGCACTCATCCACGTCGTGGGCACAACGTGGGCCGGCAAAACCAGGGAGGCAGGAGCACGAAAAGGAACCCACGCCGTCTTGGCACAAGCCTCCGTTCAGGCATGGGTCTGAGGGCAGGAGGAAGGCGGTCTGGTCACCTACCTTGCCCCCATTAGCCCAGTCTGACTGGGATATGCCTTGGATTGAAAAGAATTCAGGAGGAAACCAGGTTCAACTGGGAGGGGGTGCATTTGGTCAGAGGAATCTAAATCCATCCCCTTCTGTGGCCTCGTCCCCTCCTTTATCTGGAAACCTTACCTATATGGCAAGGGGCAGGTGTTGGGAGAACCAAAAGGTCTCTTTAAGCTGCCAAGCAAATGCTGCTAATTGTGCCTGATCTAATTCCTGTGCTTGGGACAGGCCAAGAACAACGGTCACTAGCCACACGTGGCTACTGAGTCCTTGAAATTGTGTGGCCAGGTGCAGTGACTCACGCCTGTAATCCCAGCACTCTGGGAGGCTGAGGTGGGTGGATCACGAGGTCAGGCGTTCGAGACTAGCCTGGCCAACATAGTGAAACCCTGTCTGTAATAAAAATATGAAAAGAAGGCCGGGCGCGGTGGCTCAAGCCTGTAATCCCAGCACTTTGGGAGGCCGAGGCGGGTGGATCACGAGGTCAAGAGATCGAGACCATCCTGGTCAACATGGTGAAACCCCGTCTCTACTAAAAGTACCAAAAATTAGCTGGGCATGGTGGTGCATGCCTGTAATCCCAGCTACTCAGGAGGCTGAGGCAGGAGAATTGCCTGAACCCAGGAGGCGGAGGTTGCGGTGAGCCGAGATCGTGCCATTGCACTCCAGCCTGGGTAACATGAGTGAAACTCCGTCTCAAAAAAAAAAAAAAAAAAAAAAAAATATATATATATATATGAAAAGAAAAATTAGCTGGGCGTGGTGGCGGGCACCTGTAATCCCAGCTACTCTGGAGGCTGAGGCAGGAGAATCCCTTGAACCTGGGAGGCGGAGGATGCAGTGAGCCAAGATCCTGCCACTGCACTCCAGTCCAGTGCACCCCAGTCTGGGAGACAGTGCAAGACTCCGTCTCAAAAAGAAAGGAAAGGCCAGGCACGGTGGCTCACACCTGTAATACCTCATTTTGGGAGGCTGAGGCAGGCAGATCACCTGAGGTCAGGAGTTCGAGACCAGCCTGACCAACATGGAGAAACCCCATCTCTACTAAAAATACAAAAAATTAGCCAGGCATGGTGGCACATGCCTGTAATACCAGCTACTCAACAGGCTGAGGCAGGAGAATCGCTTGAACCTGGGAGGCGAGAGTTGCAGTGAGCCAAAATTCCACCATTGCACTCTACACTGGACAACAAAAGCGAAACTGTCTCCAATAAAAAAAAAGAAAAGAAATTGTGACTAAATGGAGATGTGCTACAAATGTAAAATACACACTGGATTTCAGATTTTGTATGAAAAAAATAGGCTGGGCATGGTGGCGCACACTTGTAATCCCAGCACTTTGGGAGGTCAAGGTGGGTAGATCACTTGAGCTCAGGTGTTTGAGGCCAACCTGGGCAGTATATCAACACCCCATTTCTACCAAAAATACAAAAATCAGCTGAGCATAGTGGTGCATGCCTATAGTCCCAGTCACTGGGGAGGCTGCAGCACCTGAGCCCAGAGGGTAGAGGTTACAGTGAGCCATGATCGCACCACTGTACTCCAGTGACAGAGCTAAGACCCAGTCTCACAAAAAAAAAAAAAAAAGAGAGAGAGAGAGAGATAGGCAGTACGGAGACTCCAAGGCTCCAAGCCCAACTCATTCCCTAACTCATTCCCTGGCCATGGGCAAGTCACCCAACCTCCTCAGGCCTCGGTTTCCATATGAATAAAATGGGAAAAGTAAGAGAAGTGTGAAGATAAAATGACAGCACAGTGACAGGCTCGCAGTTCAAGCTGAAGGCCTGTGTTCGCCCGAGCAGCACCCCCAAGAGCTCCCGTGCACTCACTGGGGTCACAGTCATTGATGTTCTGATCGCAGGAATGGCCAGTGTACCCTCCATGGCAGGTGCAGCTGAAACCCCCTGCCATGTTGGTGCAGATACCATGAGGGCCGCAGGGTGAGGGGCTAGCACACTCATCCACATCCTGCTGGCATCGTGGACCTGGGGGTGGGGAGCAAGATGACATTTAGTGTTAGAGGGTAGAGGGCAGTGTCTCAGGGGCCTGGGGCTCAGGAGGAACCTGCAGGCTGAGATGAGTGAAGATAAAATAAGGCATGCTGTCATTCCAGTCTGAGCAATTTTGCATATGCAGTTTCAGAATGGTCGTCTCCCTGTCTCAGGAGGTGGCATATACATACTATGAGGTCTGCGCCTTCAGGAAGCTGGACCCAAAACCCCACCCGAGTTCCAGCATCTCTTGCCCCATTTCCCTTCCTCTTCCCAGGGCTAACTCACACTGGTTGCAAGTATCTGTGTCCAGCTCTGTCCTTCCCAGAAGAAAGCCCTCTTTTTTTTTTGAGACAGAGTTTCTCTCTTGTTGCCCAGACTGGAGTGCAATGGCGCGATCTTGGCTCACCACAACCTCCACCTCCCAAGTTCAAGCACCTCCTGAGTAGCTGGGATTACAGGCATGCGCCACCACGCCCAGCTAATTTTGTATTTTTAGTAGAGATGGGGTTTCTCCATGTTGGTTAGGCTGGTCTCGAACTCCCGACCTCAGGTGATCCACCCGCCTCGGCCTCCCAAAGTGCTGGGATTACAGGCATGAGCCACTGTGCCTGGCCAGGAAGCCCCTCTCAAAGGCAGGGCTGGGAGTAGGATGTCCTCTGGATCTCCAGCATCTTCCAGGATAGGGCAGGGGGAAAAGGAGATGGAGAGGAGGAGGGAGAGAAGCAGGCAGTGTACCTTGCCAGCCCTGGGGGCAGGAGCAGACAGCCAGCTGGCCAGGGGCAGACTCACAGCGGCCCCCATGCTCACAGGGGTTCGGGGTGCAGGGGGAGAGGAGCTCACATTGACGTCCTGTGGGGCATGGAAGAGAGGGAAGCAGTGAGATCGCATTAAGGGACACCCTGATCCCATCTCCCTCCAGGGTCCTCACCTTGATACCCACCTCCCAAGCTCCTGAAGGGAAATAACTGAAAGCAAAAAAGAAGCCAGTGTAGGGGGAGGAGAGAGTAGAGAAGGGAGATGAGAGGACAATGACGTTGGTGGGGCCACAGAGGGAAGGTGAGGTACACACCCTGAACACCAGTGGGACAGGTGCAGTGGAAGCCCGCTCCATCGCTGCTGCAGGTCCCACCTGCCCGGCAGGGCTGGGACTCACAGGCATCTCGGGCCAGGCTCTGGCTGCATCGGGGGCCACTCCAGCCAGGCTCACATACACAGCGGAACCTGGCAGGAGAGAGTAGTCAGGGCGGGCAGGTGGGCCAGGGAGAAGGGGCAGTGTCCAAGGCTGAGAAGGGCCCTCACCCGCCAGGTGCATCATAGCAGATGCCGTGACTGCAGGGCTCATGGGCACAGGGATGGCTCGGGGGGAGGCAGAGTGGGGGCAAGGAGCCAGGCGGGCAGAGGCAGCGGAAGCCGTTTTCCCCATCCACGCAGGAACCTCCCTCGCCGCAGGGGCTGGAAGCACACTCATTGATCTCCACGTTACAAAGGGGCCCTGGGGAGCATACAAGCAATCTCATCTCAGAACAAAGGTGGCAAGGACAACTAGGGAGGGACGACCTGATCCCACTTAGGACACCCACACCCCCGAGCAAGGACAACCTCTTTTTCATAAGGCATCAGCTCTTGTGCAAATTAGGACACCCACCTCCTCAACCAAGAGCTGCCTTGCCCCAGATCATCCTGGTCCCCAAACTTCCATGAAGCCCCCTTCTTTTTATTGTCTTCTTTATATTTTTTGAGATAGGGTCTCATTCTGTCACCCTGCAGTGGCATGATCACACCTCCCTACAGCCTCTACCTTCTGGCCTCAAGTGATCCTCCCACCTCAGCCTCCTGAGTGGCTGGGACTACAGACGGGCACCACCAAGCCCGCCTCTGTGTGTGTGTGTGTGTGTATTTACTTATTGACTAATCTGGCTTTGGGAATATGCTTATTTTTTTGTAGAGACAGGGTTTCATTATGTTGCCCAGGCTGGTCTGGAACTCCTGGGATCAAGTGATCCTCATGCCTCAACCTCCCAAAGTGCTGGGATTACAGACGTGAGCCAACACACCTAGCAAAGTCGTTTTCATTTCTATCAACAATTACTTTAGCCCCATCCAGAGATAACTCAGTCACATTCATCTATGTTCCAGAAAAAAAAATTATTATTTTTTTTTGAGATGAAGCCTCACTCTGTTGCCCAGGCTGGAGTGCAGTGGCTCAATCTTGGCTCTCTGTAACCTCCGCCTCCTCAGTTCAAGCAATTCTCCTGCCTCAGCCTCCCAAGTAGCTGGGATTACAGGCAAGTACCACCACAACCCGCTAATTTTTGTATTTTTAGTAGAGACGATGTTTCACCACGTTGACCAGGCTGGTCTCAAAATCCTGACCTCAAGTGATCCACCTGCCTAGGCCTCCCAGAGTGCTGGGATTACAGGTGTGAGCCACCGGCCTGGCCTCCAGAAAAATCTTGAAACAACCTTATGCCAGTGAGACAGCATAGCCTCAGGGCAAAGTATGGACAACCTCACTGGACAAGAGTCTACACAGATACAGGCAAAACAAGCCCACAGAGACAAGTGACTTCACCCTCGATCTAAGGACACCCTCTCCATGGCAGCCACTTGCCCACCTGTGAAGCCAGGCTGGCAGACACAGTCGTAGCGGTTGATACCATCACGGCAGACTCCAAAGGTGCAGGGGTTACTGGCACAGTCGTCAATGTTCACTTCACAGTTCACACCTGGAGGTCAGGAACATGGCATGGAGTGGCCACCACTGTGCCCCACTAGATGCACCCTTCCCAAACCCCTGTGCCCTCCAGATGTGCTGTTTCTGCCCCAGCCCCCATTCCCACCTGTGGTCCCAGAAGGGCAGCGGCAGAGGTACTTGTCCACTAGGTCTAGGCATTTGCCCCCATGGCGGCAGGGCTGGCTGCGGCACTCATCCACCTGGCTCTCGCAGCGTGTGCCCGTGTAGCCAGGGGCACAGGCACATGAGAAGCTGGCGATGCCATCCACGCAGCGACCGTGGTGGCACGGATCAGGGGAGCAGTCATCCACGTTGCGTTCACACAGCGTCCCCTCAAAGCCTGCGGGGGGGGGGGCGGGGGGAGGACGGGGGAGGGGAGACCGACAGGGTCAGGCTCCGCCCACTTGCCAGGGGCCTGCCCACAGGTGAGGCCTCGGACCAATCCTGGTTCAGCTCTATCTAAGGCCCTGCCCATCAAGCTGTCAGGAGTCCGGCTCAATACAGGCCCCACCCCCCACTTGCCTCCACTCCATCCCCGCTACAAGCTCCAGAATTTGCGCCTGGCTAAGACCCTCCCACAGTTAAATCCCACCCCTAGCTGTGGCCCCACCTCCAGCCCTGTTTCTGCGCCACCCTCCACTGGAGATAGGAGCACATGGTTCCTATGGTGCCAGGGGAAGGTATTGGGCCCTCCCATTCAGTTACACCCACCCTGTGCTCCAACCCTTTGGCCCCACACCTAGGCTTTTGTCAGTCTATATACTTTATGGGCTCCACCCCCCAACTCTGTCATTGGGTCCTGCCTTGCCACAATCCTGCCCCCAAGCTCTCCCCAAGTCTGTTATTGGCCCTGTCCCCCACAAGTGCCGCCTCCTGATTCTTGTCGGACTGTTGTCAGCCCGCCTCACCCTCAGCACAGCGACACTCGTAGCCATCAGGCTGGTCCACGCACTTGGCGCCATTCCTGCAGGGCGTGCTCGCGCATTCGTCCACGTCCAGCTGACACGTGGAGCCGCTGAAGCCTGGGGTGGTGAGTGGGATGAGCAGAGGCCCAGAAAGGGTGAGAGCAGTACACCCCTCACCAGCCCCGCCTTGTTCGGGTGGAAAAACCCATTTACTTGGATTTACATTAACTTCCATATGCTTCATAACACATGGTTTCTATTACAAGTTATCCGCTAACGTGGTTTTATAGGTTCCCACCCTGGAGTTTTCGCCCCTTCCCAAACATGTTTTTCAGGCTCCCTCTCCCGAGGTCCTCACCCGAGGGGCAGGTGCAGGTGAAGCCGTTGACTCGGTCCTTGCAGACCCCACCATTGACACAGGGGCTACTCTGACACTCGTCGATATCCACCTCGCAATAGGTTCCTGTGAAGCCTGGGGGCAGGGAACCGGGCTTAGGAAAGTGGGGGCTACCCCATGGTGTAAACGGAGTGCAAGGAGGGAGGTACTTTCCTTCCTACTCATAGACAAATCCCCCGACCCTTAGTCCCCACCTCCACGCCCCCAACCCAACCTTAATTTTCAGCCACAGGCTGGACTGTTACCCAGCTGGCCCGAGGCTCATGGGAATCCGTCGAGACCTTGCCTTCAAACCCTCCTTCTCTCCCCAGTCCTCAGACTAAGCCCTTTCCCCAGTACCGTGCCCCCAGCCCCAGTACCCCCATAGCCTTGTGCCCAGGTTTACTACAAGACTGTCTGCCGGCTTCACCTTGACCACACAACAGCCCCGACCCTGCTTCTCTATCCCCAGCCCCTTCCTGAGTGGGTCCTCAGGCCCAAATACTACTCAGGTGGTAGGCAGCCCACCTAAGGTTCCACTGACTCCACTTGACCACGCCCCCAGCCTCACACAGGATTCCGTTCTGCCCTGAGCCCACCTCCTTCCAGGCTTCGGTCTCTAAGGGTCGCACTCCAAACCCACTTCCACCCCATTCCTCTCCCCTCCCCATCCGCGGGCTTCTCTGGCCCCGCCCTCTGCCTCAGGACCCGCTCAGGCCACGCCCACCACCCACCTGCCATACAGATGCAGGTGAACTGGCCGATTCGGTCGAGGCACGTGGCCTGGTTGCGGCAGGGCCCCGACAGACACTCGTTGACATCGGTCTCACAGCGAGGTCCGGTGTAGCCACGGCCGCACTGGCACAGGAAGGAGCCCTGCGTGTTCACGCACCGGCCCAAGTGCTCGCAGGGGTTGGCGCCTGCGCGACGGAGCACGTTTGGTGTGGGCGTGGCTGGCCGGGACCTCCTCCTCTCCCCTCTTTCCCAGCCCATCCCCAGGTGGTGGAGCTCCTCTCACCAATAGAGCACTCGTCCACATCCTGGTCACATGCCCCGCCCGTGAAGCCGGGCGGACAGGTGCAAATGGCTCGCCCGTTCACCGGATTCGTGTCACAGATAGCATCCTCATGACAGGGGTTGCTGACACAGGCGTCATCCAGGTGACACAGGAGGCCTGGGAAGTGGTAGACAGACATCATAGGCAGACTTTCCTGCTCTGCCCAAAAGGCCCACACCCCTTGCAGATTGCTTTGTGATTTTTTGGTTTTCTATGTGATTATTATTATTTTTTTTTTTTGAGACGGAGTTTTCCCTCTTGTTGCCCAAGCTGGAGTGCAATGGCGCGATCTTGGCTCACTGCAACCACCACCTTCCGGGTTCATGCGATTCTCCTGTCTCAGCCTCCCGAGTACCTGGGATTACAGACGAACGCTACCACACCCGGCTAATTTTTTGTGTTTTTAGTGAAACGCCGTTTACCATGTTAGCGAGGCTGGTCTCGAACTCCTGACCTATAGTGATCCACCCTCCTTGGCCTCCCAAAGTGCTAGGATTACAGGTATGAACCACCACAACCGTCCTGTTGTTTTTATTAAACCTAAAGAGTATTTAGTAGCTGCCATTTTTATCCATTTATTATGAGAACTATCAAGCACACAGAAAAGTTGACCATTCATATATCCACCACCTAGATTCAACTATTGTTAGCTTAATCCACCAATCTTTTTTTTCTAAACCATTTAAAAATGAATTGCAGACCGGGCACAGTGGCTCATGCCTATAATTCCAGCACTTTGGAAGGCCAAGGTGGGTGGATCACTTGATATCAGGAGTTCAAGACCAGCCTGGGCAACATAGCAAGACCCCATCTCTACAAAAAATACAAAACTTAGCCAGGCATTGTGGCACACGCCTGTAATCCCAGCTACCTGGGGGACAGAGGTGAGAGGATCATGAGCCCAGGAGGTCAAGGCTGCAGTGAGCTGAGATCGTGCCACTGCACTGCAGCCTGGGTGACAAAGCGAGACACCACCTCAAAAAGTAATAATAAAATAAATTGCAAACATCCACATATTTTTGTTTTGTTTTGTTTTTGTTTTTTGGGGTTTTTTTTTTTTTTTTGAGACAGAGTCTCACTCTATAGCCAGGCTGGAGTAAAGTGGCTCAATCTTGGCTCACTGTAATCTATACCTCCTGGGTTCAAGTGATTCCCCTGCCTTAGCCTCTCAAGTAGCTGACACAACAGGCACGCATCACCATGCCCGGCTAATTTTTTTGTATTTTAGTAGAGACAGCGTTTCACTATGTTAGCCAGGCTGGTCTTGAACTCCTGACCTCTGGTGATCTGCCCGCCTTGGCCTCACAAAGTGCTGGGATTACAGGCGTGAGCCACTGTGCCCAGCCTACATCCAGATATTGTTTTAAAACCTATTGGCTCTCTTTCTGATTACAAAAGGGTCCTACCCTCCAGTCTTTGCTTCTGTAATACCCTCTTCCAGGTATGCCCTCTTTATATTTCCATGTTCCTCTCCTAAACATGTTCTCTGATCTTTGCCACTTCCAAAGGGAACACCGAGGAGTTCCCCATTCCAATGGCTTCTGCCCTCAGCCATGCATCAGTGCAATGTCAGCCTCCTCCCCATCTCTTCTAGGCTTACACTTCACCTCTAAACCCGCCTCTGGCATAATCTTGTTTTTTTTATTTCTTTTTTTTAGACAGGGTCTTTACACTGTCTTCCAGGCTGGAGTGCAATGGCTCGATCTCAGCTCACTGCAACCTTTACCTTTTGGATTCAAGCCATCTTCCCACCTCAGCATCCAGAGTGGCTGGGACAACAGGCATGCGCTACCATCCCCAGCTAATTTTTTGTATTTTTGGTAGAGACAGGGTTTTGCCATGTTGGCCAGGCTGGTATCAAACTGCTGAGCTCAAGCAATTCACCCACCTGGAAATCCTAAAGTTTTGGGGTTATAGGTGTGAGCCACCACACCCAGTCTGCCAAGTTTTCGTAGAGAAGAGGTCTCACGGCCGGGCGCGGTGGCTCAAGCCTGTAATCCCAGCACTTTGGGAGGCCGAGGCAGGTGGATCACGAGGTCAAGAGATCGAGACCATCCTGGTCAACATGGTGAAACCCCGTCTCTACTAAAAATACAAAACATTAGCCAGGCATGGTGGCGCGTGCCTGTAATCCCAGCTACTCAGGAGGCTGAGGCAGGAGAATTGCCTGAACCCAGGAGGCGGAGGTTGCGGTGAGCCGAGATCGCACCATTGCACCCCAGCCTGGGTAACAAGAGCGAAACTCCGTCCCAAAAAAAAAAAAAGAGAAGAGGTCTCACTATGTTGCCCAGGCTGGTCTCAAAGTCCTGGGCCCAAGCAATCCTCCCATTTTGGCTTCCCAAAATGCTGGGATTACAGGCATGAGCTACTGTGCCCAGCCTAGCAGACAGAATGTTGGAAATAGATGCCCGGTGCCGCAAAGAAAAATCAGCACTGAGGCAAAGGATCTTTCAGCAACACAATTTTTACTTCCTGGACTGCAGGAAGGGTACCCTCGCTAGCCATGGTGCCACGAGAGTACCTGCAGTCCAGGAAGTAAAAATTACGTTGCTGAAAGATCCTTTGCCTCAGTGCTGATTTTTCTTTGGGTCATCGAGCATCTATTTCCAACACAGAGTCTCGTTCTGTTGCCTGGTTAATTTTGGTATCTTTAGTAGAGACGGGGTTTCACCATATTGGCCTGGCTGCTCTCGAACTCCTGACCTCGTGATCCACAAAGTGCTGGGATTACAAGCGTGAGCCACCTTCCCTTCCCGCGTAATTTTTTTTTTTTTTTTTTTTTTGAGACAGAGTCTCACTCACAGGCTAGAGTGCAGTGGCGCTGTCTCAGCTCAGTGCAACTTCTACCTCCTGAGGCCCAGTGATCCTCCTGCCTCAGCCTCCCAAGAAACTGGGATTACAGGTGTGCCCCACCACACCCAGCTAATTTTTGTGTTTTCAGTAGAGATGGGGTTTCACCATGTTGACCAGGCTGGTCTCCAACTCCTAACCTCAATGATCTACCCACCTCAGCCTCCCAAAATGCTGTGATAACAGGCATGAGCCACCATAATCTTTCTAACTCAAGTCGGCCCTCTTATTTGCCCCCATTAAAAACCATCCATAGCTCCCTGCAGGGTAAACGGCCACTCACCAGTCTTGCCCATGGGGCAGGCACAGTAGAAAGAAGCCACGCGGTCATGGCAGGTGGCCCCGTGGAAGCACACGGCTGTGGCACAGTCATCGATATTCTGACTGCAGCTCTCGCCTGTCCAGCCATTGACACACACGCAGCTGTGGCCACCCAGCGTGTTGAAGCAGGTGCCCCCATTGTGGCAGGCGTTGGGCTGCAGCTGACACTCATCCACGTCCTCTGTGCAGAACTGGCCTGTGGCACACAGATGCAGCTGTCCAGCCACCCAGTGCATGCCCACCCAAGGCCTGCCTCCCCGCCCCCTATGGCACCAGTCCCCACCTGTCCACTCAGGAGGGCACTGGCAGTTGTAGGTGTTGACACCATCCACACATGTCCCCCCGTTGAGACATTGGTGCCCTGGACAGTCATCCACGTTCACTTCACAATTCTGACCCTCAAACCCTAGCAAGGAAGGGGGCAAGGATGGTCACCACCAGGCTGGCCTGCTGTCCCCATGCCCACCCCTCTGCCTCCCCTGAGTAGGGCTCACTCACCGGGAAGACAGGCGCAGTCATAAGTGAAGTCACCACTCTGCCTGCAGGTGCCCCCGTTACGGCATGGTGAGGGCGCACAGGGCACTACAGGGTTCTCACATAGTGACCCGGTGTAGCCAGCTGGACACTGGCAGCGGAAGGAGCCAGGTGTGTTGAGGCAGGTGCCACCATGGCGGCAGGGCCCACCCACCCGGCACTCATCCACATCGCTTCGGCAGCTGCGGCCCTGGTACCCAGGTGGGCAGGAGCAGAGGAAGCGTCCATCGGGCCCCACTGAGCAGCGGGCACCATGGGCACAAGGGCTGCTGAGGCAGGGATCTGGCAGGGAGCAGTCAGGGCCTGGAGGGACCAGGACAGTGTGAGCTTGGGACTGACCACACCCCCGCCTGCCTCTCGTCCCCCTCCAGACTCTTCCCCTCTTACCTCGGAAGCCACGGGGGCACCGGCATGAGAATCGGGCAGTGCCAGCCACCACTGAACTCTGGCAGACACCACGACCAACACAGGGGCCTGAGTGACAGGGGTCCTCCAGCTGACACCGCTCACCCACCCAGCCGGGCGGGCACCTGTAGGCAGAGATGGCTTGGTCAGGGCAGCACAGGGCAGTACAGCCCCAGACACAAAGATACACACAAGACAGGCAAGAAACACACAGGGAAATGGAGCAGCAAACACACATTTGCTGGGCGAGGTGGCTCACACCTGTAACCCCAGAACTTTGGGAGGCTGAGGCAGGGAGATCACTTGGGATCAGGAGTTTAAGACCAGCCTGGCCAACACGGTGTAACCCTGTCTCCAGTAAAAGCACAAAAATATGCCAGGTGCAGAAGTTCATGCCTGTAATCCCAGTACTCTGGGAGGCCAAAGCGGGCAGATCACCTGAGATCGGGAGTTCAAGACCAGCCTGATCAACATGGAGAAACCCTGTCTCTACCAAAAAATACAAAAATTAGCCAGGCATGGTGGCGCATGCCTGTAATTCCAGCTACTCAGGAGGCTGAGGCAAGAGAATCACTTGAACCCGGGAGACGGAGGTCGTGGTGAGCAGAGGTTCTGCCATTGCACTCCAGCCTGGCAACAAGAGGGAAACTGTCTCAAAAATAAAAAGTACCCAAAAATTTGCCGGGCATAGTGGTGCATGCCTATAATCCCAGCTACTTGAGAGGCTGAGACAGGAGAATAGCTTGAACCCAGGAGGTGGAGGTTGAAGTGAGCCGACATCACGCTGCTGCACTCCAGCCTGGGCAACAGAGTGAGGCTCCGTCTCAAAAACAAAAACAGGCCAGGCGCGGTGGCTCAAGCCAGTAATCCCAGCACCTTGGGAGGCCGAGGCGGGTGGATCACGAGGTCAAGAGATCGAGACCATCCTGGCCAACATGGCGAAAACTACAAAAAAACTAGCTGGGCGTGGTGGTGTGCGCCTGTAGTCCCAGCTACCCGGGAGGCTGAGGCAGGAGTATTGCTTGAATCCAGGAGGCAGAAGTTTCAGTGAGCCGAGATCGTGCCTGGCGCCTGGTGACAAAGTGAGACTCTGTCTCAAACAAAACAAAACAAAACGAAACGCACATTCATTCATGTAACGAGTATCTACTGAGTACCTACGATGTCCTGAGCAATACAAATACACCAACAAATACAATGAAAGCGATCCCTACCCCTCTGGATCCTTGCAGCCCAGGTCCAGGCAAGGAGAACAAATACAAATAAGAAATTAATATACAACATGCTAGCAAGGGGTGGTGAAAGCCATCAGAACCATGAAGGATGTAGTCAGTTGGGTGGCGGCCCCTGAAAAGATGACATCCATGTCCCAGAACCTGTGACTAGGACCTTATTAGGAAAGAAGGGGTCTTTGCAGATGTTATTTTTTTTAAACAGAGCCTTGCTCTGTCACCCAGGCTGGAGTGTAGTGGCGCGATCTCAGCTCACTGCAACCTCAACCTCCCAGATTCGAGCAATTCTTCTGTCTCAGCCTCCCAAGTAGCTGGGACTACAGGTGCCCACCACCATGCCTGGGTATGTAGATGTAATTAAATGACAGATGTCAAGATGAGATCATTCTGAATTATACACCTGGGCCCTAAATTCAGTAACAAGGGATCATACAAGAGAAAAGGTCGCTACTGTAATCCCAACACTTTGGGAGGTCGAGACAGGACGATCACTTCCAGCCAGAAGTTCAAGACCAGCCCAAGCAACACAGGGAAACCTTTCTACACACACACACACACACACACACACACACACACACACACACACACACA